CGGAAATGTAATTGAATAACTGAAGAACCTAGGGTGAGCAAAGTAGCTATTCGCAAAGGAATTTGGTTTAGATACTTTGTGAACATATCGAACTTGAGCATTAAAGCTGGTTTAAATCTTTAGGGTTTGCAAAGGAATTTGGAATTCTAGGATTTTGACTTAGATAATTCTCACAACGGAAGTTGGTTAATTATAATTCTGTGATTCGAGTTCAAGAACTGTGCTTAAACCTGAACCCTGACTAATCGATTGATCTGCATGCATTGATTTCCTGAGAAACTCCCTAAGCCTAATCTCCATCCATCTGAATCTTACAAACCGTTTTTATTGCTGCTTAGTCTAATTCTGTTGCATTGCTATTTATTTACAATATTTCTGCTTAGCGTAATTCAATCTCTATAAGGTTTATTGAGTGATCTCTTGTCTCTGTGGTTCGACCCCTACATACTACAACTGCACATCTGTGCTCTTGCAGAGTAGCTAGGGATTAAACTTTGAGCATATCAGTTGCCACGGCCAAGTGTGGACCGTGCCATTCCATCGCGGCATGTTTAACTTAGTCATTCAGGGCTGTCTGGACCACTTCGCATTCCGGAGAGTGTAACTCACGATATACTTGTCGGAATTGAGTGATTCCGGTTGCAGAGAACAGTGGACTCATATATCTCCAACTTTTGTGAAGAAAGCTTCGGTTCTTGGGAAGTGGAAGGCTTCCTGGAGGGCTCATCTTTGCAATGCATTTACACGATCAGAGAGAGCCGTCTATACATGTGTCCATTCCGGAGACTGTATCTTACTTCTCATAGCTCCGAATTGAATGATCTCGGATGTTCTGGAAAGCAGACTCAAATGTCTCTGATTCTCATGAAGGCCCCGGAAACTGAATCGGCCTGGAATTGCATCGTCCTTCGCATTCTTCAGAGCTTATCGGCTTGGTCCAAAACAGCAGCGAGACAGGGGTTTTTTCAGACGAGCTTAACTCTCTGCTCACGCGTCCGAATTCCAAGATTCTACTTTTTATGGAACCGTGATCCAATCCTCTCCAACATTGATGAAGCACCCGCCAACTGAATCGGACCGGAAGGTTCCCTGGACAGGCGATTTCGGAAACGTGTCTGCACCCAGAGATTTTGGCCGATACAATCCACTCGCGGTACGCGTTTTGGCCGATAAGGTCTATCTGCGGTACATGAAAATGGCCGGTAAAAACCTTCCTGGTACGCGAGAATGGCCGATAACCTCCAAAAACACAAGTTCATCATTTTTCAAGCCTTGATCACCATTCTACCTCCTGGATTCATCTTTTCAGCTCCAAGTACACCTGATAAACACTCAAAACATGCAGAGACTCATTGGGACCTAATGCATCTCCTAAGTTCTAAAACAAACCCTAAGGACCTAAAATGCATGGAATAAAACATGATTTGGAATGAATTATGCAACCTAAATGATGCAAATTATGAACATATCACTCCCTTGCTGGATCCCCATCTGTTGAAACTTGGCCAGATAATCAGGTGTTTCTGGTTCAGTTTTCTTGATCCTCTTTGATGCCTCATCAATGGTTCCTTGGGAACCTCCAGCTGAGCTGCTTGAGCCACTCTCAGTCTGTTCATCATCAGATACCACAGCCAATTGTTTCCCTTTCTTCTTGGAACCAGAAGCAACCACCAATGCTTTCTCTTCATGCCTTGTCCTTTTCGGCGCTTGTTCACCTTTCCCTTGCTTTATGCTTTTCTTGGTGCCTTGGCCTTTTCCTTCTGGCTGTGAAGACCCTGAGACCAAACCCTTGTCCTTGGATGCAGTACCCTGAGTTGGTTCTTTCAGTCATCTGCCAATAAATTTCTCAAAAACAAGATGAGCACAAGATCAAGTTTCACAAAATTCTTCAAAATTTTGAAAAGATTTGTTGCAAAAATCGATTTCCAAAGCACATGAACAAGTTTCTCAAGCCAAGCATCAGTCCAATGAGTTTATAGCAATGCAAATACAAGAGTGCAAAGCAAGGACTCAGCAGGAAACGAGTTCATTTCTTTTCTAAGAAAAATCGATTTTTCATGAATTAACTTGCAACAATTTTCAAAACTCAAGAACAATGAATCACCAAGAAATTGCTCTGTTTTCCATGACTATCTAGCACCCTTGAATTTATAAAAATAATCCCAAGGTTTAAAACAATCTATCAAAATCGATTCCACACTTTGAAGTTCAAAAACCACCATTTGAGAACATGGAAAAAGATGAATTTTAACAGAGTGAATACCTTGGGATTATGATGCAAACGAGTTCGAAATGCTATCAGGATGATGTTAACAACTCAAAAACGAGCTCAGAGCACTTTGAATCAACGAATTTGGTGGAGAAGTGAGAGAGTTATGATGAAAACAATGGAGAGAAATGGGGTAAGAGAGCAAACTCGTGGTTTTGGTGAGGAAGAGAGAGTGTGGGACTAGGTTAAGCCTTTGGACTGGTGGTCAATAGATCCACTTTGACCAGTGAAGGCTATGACCTGTCCTTTTTGTTGACCAGACTCATTTTTTTTTCTTCCTTTTTGCGCCTTGGACCCGACCTTTCTCATCCCGCATGACCGACTTGGTGTAAAACACGAACTTGTGTGCGACTTGAGGCCTTCTTCTTCCTGTCCCGCACGCCCAAGTCGCACACAAAACCCTCCTGAGTGCTTTGGCTTCCACGGCTGTCCTGCGACCTGGCGTGACCTCTTGATGACCCGCAAGCCCGTCTCGGCTTAAAACGCGAGTTCCTGTACGACCTGGTACCTGGTGTTGACTGTCTCGCATGCCCAGGTCGCACAGAAATCTCCTT